ACAGCTAAAGCATCAGAAAAAACACCTGATCAAATTGTATGTTTATAAGAATGTGAAAGAATGAATATTTTATTAGGTGAAATAAGAAGATCACTTGAAGATCTTAGACTTGGTTTAACTGGTGCATTGAATATAACAGATTAAATGGAAGCTTTATCTCTATCATTACAATTCAATAAAGTACCTGCTAACTGGGAGAAATTTGCTTATTTCTCAAGAAAAGGTTTGGCTGCTTGGTTCAATGATTTAATTGAAAGAACCAATTAATTAGCAGCTTGGACATAAGAAATGGTTACTCCTATTTCATTGTGTATTAGTTATTTGTTTAATCCTATGTCATTTTTGACTGCTATCATGTAAAAGACTGCTAGAGAATAAGGATTACCTTTAGATGATGTAAGATATTATTATTTATATTATTTAGATGGTTTTATAAACAAATGTGACAGCTGCCAAAGGACATGAAGAAGTTACAGTTCCAGCTGAGACTGGTGCTTTTATCCATGGTTTATATTTAGAAGGTGCTGCTTGGGAATTAGGTGGTTAAGGATAAGAAGGATATTTGATAGAATAGAAATAGAAGGAATTACATCCAAAATTACCAGTTGTTAATGTGATTGCTGTGACAGCTGATAAAAAGAAGAAGATTGGATAATATTCATGTCCAGTTTATGTAACTTCAATGAGAGGACCTACATTTGTATTCACAGCAAATCTTAATATGGAAAATGAAGATTCAGACGTATCTAAATGGATTCTCAGTGGTACTTGTTTATTGATGAGTGACGATTGAGAATTATTTGAAATTTTATATATTATATATATATGAATATTTAATACATAAATATATTAATATTTATTAAATAAGATATTTACTATATATATTTAATAAATATTCTTTAATTTCTAATTTTATAATATTATTTATAAATAATGCAATATATAAAATATTATCTATTCTCCAACACAACATTAGATTTAAAATATATATTAAGGTATTTGTTCTTTAAGGTAAGATTAATTCTTATCAAAAGATAATATCATTAACTATACTTCTTCATATTTTAACTGGTATTTTATTATTAACATTTACATAAATTAATAAATATCAATCTAAATTTAGAAGTTTGCATTTTTAGTAATTTTAATTTCTAAATTGAATGAATTCCAATTTTATAAATAAGGCTATATCTTCTGAGGACATAAATTTTATTTAAATAAAAACTCATTTTTAATTTTTGTTTCTATATTATAACAAAATAATTTTCAATTATTTCTATTTCAATCTAAAAAAAGGAAGAAGAAAATTAAAATTCTAAATATTTATATATAAATTAATATTGTATTTTTTTCAGTCAATTTTAGATTATTATAATTGTCTTCGATTTAAGATGAATTAAATGCTAATAAAATATTTTTCATAATTATAATTATGAATAATTAACCAATATTAATAGAAACTCAACAATATAAATATTATGTTGGAAATGAAGAAAAGTCCTTTCAAATTAAAAAGAAAGCTGAATTTTTTTAATACTAAAGATATAAAACTGTAAGCAACTCATTCCATGAAACAAACAATTGTTTAGAGAAGAAACAAAAATAAAGAAGAATGACGTTGGATAAATGCTAATAAGAATTTTCCAATATAGCTGTGAAAAAATATATTGATTTTAATGTAATTATATGAAGAAAGTAGATTAAAGAAATAAATTCAGGAAATGAATTAAATGAAAAGGTTAAGTAATTTATTATACAAGACAAAAAGTTGATGAGAAAATAAATAAAGGTTACTAACTTTGAAGATTTATTGCTGTAATATTAGAAATCCTTTCGTTAGAAATAGATGAAAAAACAAGTATTAGAATAATTAGAGTAAGAGCCTCTTTATTTTAAGGGTACCAATTCTAATAATAATGAAATGAAAAATTCATAATAGAATCACATTCAATATAACTTACAATAAAAGAATAAAAAATAATAGAATATCAATAAAGATTAATAGTTATAGGATAAAATTTAAAATTATTTATCTAGAAAAAGTGTTAATTTACAAAGAATATCATAAAAAATGGATGACTTTAATATTTAAAGAAAATTAACTAAATAATCAGACTCAATAGAAAGATAGATAAAAACTCAAACAAATTTTTTTGAAGATTTTGGTGATTCTGATTTGTCTATAAAGAATTAAGACAAGGATGATTATTCTTAATTACTAAAATAATCTTATAAATATTGGGATTTTGCAATAAAAACAAAAAAGGATCCAACAAAAACAAGAAAAGCTGAAGGTATATTTAATATTTCAACATAAACAAACTTAGAAAAAATGAAAAATTAATTATTATATTGTGTAAAGAAATTAAGATTTATGAAATTGAATCCATAGTTATTATTAAAAAATAATGAAATAATAAAATTGAAACCTTATCAAAGAGAAGGATCATATGTATTTTTTAAAGGAATTGGTAAAAATGATTAAGATTTAGTAAAATTAATGTTAGAAAAATGTAGATTTTATGCATTTGATGTAAATGAGTATTTTTAAACTGCTCTTCATATTTGTTCAAGAAAAGGATATATAAGTTTAGCAGAAATGTTATTATCTTATGGAACATATCCAGATGCAAAAGATGTTAATTATAAGACACCTCTTTATTATGCTTTAGTTAATAAATAAAAGGATATAGTAAGACTTTTATTATCTGAAAAATGTAATCCATGGTCATCTAAAGGTTGTAATTATGAAACTAATGATCCAAGTTTATAGAAGATACTTAAAATTGCTAGAAGAGTATTAATTTAATGATTAATTAGATTGACTTATTATTGATGATGATTCCATATAATAAAAGATAGCAAACATGGTTAAATTATGGTAGAGTTATTTTGGATTTATGATTTTAATAATTAAATATTATAATAACAATTTATTTAGATGAACAAGTTTAAATATGATATTAAGCCATTATATATAGAAACATTTGAGTACAATTATTTGGATGGTAAAACAGAGAAGTCGTTTACAATTAAAAAAAAGCTAGAAGCTCAAAGAGGAAAAGGAAAGATGCAATAAAGTGAACCACTTGCCTAATTTAATGTATTTATGTCTTTGAATAACAAATAAAGAATGATAAAATGAAATAAAGCAATAATAGAGCATAAACTAGTAGATGGCTTAGATAATCGTCTTTTGCTAAAAATTGTACTATTAATCCTAGCACTCCTCTAAATAATGGTATTAGAAAAATAGAAAGTAGAATGGAAGATGAGATACTTATATAAAACAGTAGAAATAATTCTGAAAAAAGAAATATAAAAATACCTAAATTAAGTTATATTGATTTTAATGTACATATTTTATAAAACAATAGGAAAATAGATTTCTGTATTGAATGGAGAAGGGAGTGATTCATTTTCTAAGGCTCTAAAATTAATAAATAAAGATAATATATTAATGAGAAAGAAAAAGAAATCTGTATAAAATTCAAAAACTATTTCAACATAAGAAAATGAAATTACTTAGTTTGAATAATTAGAGAATTAACATCCAAAAGATATGATGGAAAAAATAGGATAAATGCTTGCTATTAATTAAAGGAATAATCCTATTAGAAAATAAAGTAAAGTTAGAGAAGCTTTTACTAGAAATTTAAAATTTTTAGATTAATCATTTTAAGAATCTACTTCACCAGATAAAAAATTAAAATCAGTTATTTAAATCTATTTTGATAAAAAATAAGCATATTAAGAAGAATAAAATAAATAATAAGAAATCACTATTACATAACTTTCAGAATAAACAAAATCAACTAAAAATAATAATCGAATGAGAATATCTACTACATTCTTAAAATAATTTGCTTATTAAGTAGAAGAAGAATCAAAATAAAAATAATAATCAAAATCATAAAATTTTATTTAATAATCAATTAAATCATCTTAAATTAAAGATAAATTTAAAAAAAAATAAAATACAATTTTTAGTATATAAGTCAGATTAATATTTAAAAAGATGTTTAATTAAATTGTTAATTGTGTTAGAAAAATGAAATTAATGAAATTAACTATAAAAGAAATATTTTAAAATGGAGTTATTTAAAAAAAACCATATGAAAGAGAAGGATCTTTCTAATTTTTTGAAGGTGTAGAAGATAATAATTTATAATTAATTAATTTTATGCTACTTAAATGTAGATATTATGCATTTGATATTAATGAAGAAGGAAAAACTCCTTTACATTTAAGTTCTAAGAAAGGTTATTAATCAATAACTGAAAGATTACTTCAATATGGAGCCTATGTTGATTCTATAGATTAAGATGGAAAAACTCCTTTGTATTATGCTATTTAGTCTTAGTAAAAACATATAGTTTATCTATTATTATATAATAAGGCCAATCCATGGTCTATTAAGAATTGTTAATATAAATGTAATAATCCAGATATTATGCATCTCATTAAAGTATCAAGAAAGGTATATATTTAATTTATGTACTTAGATTCATCTAATATTACAATTAACAAGACATTGTGATAGAGATATAAAATGGCAAGAATCAAGAAATAATTTACTATAATGATTTTATTTATTTTATGTGTATTATTGAAATTATTCTTTATATTATGATTATTAAATAATTCTGTATTTCTTTGTCATATTTGTATTGCTAATTCTTTTAGATTTTATAGTACAAAAAAGATCTTTTATTTTTAATTAATTTATTATTGGAAATAATGTTAGATTTGGTATTAATAACTGATATTAATGAGAAATTATTTTTTATAATAGATGTTGTAATATTATTTTTAGTATATATTTTAATATTTATTTTTTTATTATAAAAATTTAGAATTTGTCATTGACATGCTTAAAATATTCTATAATAAAATAAATGATGTTTTATTATTTTAAAAGTTGTTGATTAGATATATATATAGAGACTATGTTTAAAATAATTAAACTAAATCAAAAATGATCTATAAATCAAGTTTCATCAAGGCATTTCAATTTCTCCATACTCTAGTAATTTCTTTTCATAGATAAAATAATGATGTTCATCAATAAACAATTCATAATCCATTAATTCTAAAAATGCTTATTCAAGAACAAAAATTTCTCTTACACTTACACCTCCTACTTTTGCATAATATTCATTTTTATAATAATCATCATCTTAAAATTTAATGGCTATTACCATAGAAGTCAATAGAAATCTAATAAATAAAAATGGATACCTATGAATGCATTTCGAATTTAAAACTAGATATGGATGCTTTTCTTGCAACTTATCTAAGTAAATTAAAGCAATAACAAAGCATTATTCACTACAATGTGTGTATTTTGCAATTCTTTATAAGTAATTAAATAAGGTTATTGATGGTGCTTTAGATGCATGGAAATAAGATATTGAATCTTACTCTATTTCTAAAGTATCAGTCTCTTTAATTATTTCATCTAATATGTTAGCTATCGTAATTAATAACTGATTATGTCGTTGCATTAATAGATATTATTTCAATATTAATATTTCATAACTCATTAATCGAATCTCTTCCTTACTATCTTACTTTTTTAGTATTGTTCAAATATTCTTTTAGATACTTTGGATGTTCTCATTCAACTTTTCTTTATTACTTCAAAAATATAACTTGAGAAATAAAAACATATCATTACTTTTTTATCAAATTAACTATTATACATATCTAAGAACTAATCAATATGTAACAACTGTTTTTATCCACGAATTAATTTTTTATAATTTTTGCAATTTTATTTATATACATCTAATAATTAGCACTTTTCTTATATTTTTTGTTATTCCTAATCTTTATTTAATTTATCATAACTATGGAAATGAGACAAATTAATCTCTGTCCATATATTTCGTTATTAATGAAATTTCCTATTGATTATAAATTCCATAAAATATAATTTATTAAAATCTTGTTTTATCAAAAATTCCAATTATATATAAATAATTTGTTTACATTCAATTTCATATTATTATATCTTTATAAGATAAATTCATAATTTTTAAGAAAATACAATCCACTATTATTATTTTTATATATTAATGAATAGAATTTCTTATTATATTTAATACAACTTATTAATTCTTATTTAATATACTCTAAAATAATAATAATATAAACATATAAATTAATTAAATATTACTATTATTTATTCATTTAGTATAGTATTTTTGAGATTAAAGAATCAAAACAATATGTTTAATATGAATTAAGATATATGAATATATTTTATGATTATATTGTATAAATAATTATTTGCAATTAATTAATATAATTATGGATTAATTTTAATTATTGAAATTGTTATAAGGATCGATTGATTAATAAGATTTTGTTCGTAATGAATCACTTTAAATGTTGGATTAAGCCTTTTAGAATATAAATGATATGAATCCATTGTTTAATTTAATTATTGAAAAGAATTAATTGGCAGAAATATATTTTAATTATTGGTTAATAAATCATAAGGAATGTTTAGATTTAAATTAATATTCATAATTAAGAGCAATTATCACTTAAATATATAGTGAAAAAAACAATAAAAGTATTTAAATTAGAAAAGCACTACGATTTATTTTATTAAAATTCCAATAAGATCTAGAGTTAATTTAATGGATCTTAAATTAAAAGGATATTGAATTATTATATTACTTACTTAAAGAGTTATTTAAAGAAGAGGGAGATTCTTAAAGAGTTCAATATTTATGTTAATAAAGTTAATCTATGATTAGTGATAATGCCTTAGAAATTTCTTTAAAATTGATAATTTTAACATAAAAAATAATTAAAAGTACAACAATTATTGAATTTGAAAAATATTTAGGGGAATTAGAGAAATAAATTTATAATAACAATTTCAGATTTGTATATTTAATATAAAAAATAATATTAAGTAAATTAACTTATAACAAAGATTTTTCATTAGAATCTTTAAGCTAATTGTTATTTGTATTAAATAAATTATATTTTACTAATGAAAATTTAAAGTAAATATAAATAGATTTTGTTTCAGAATTATAATTTAAAAATGATCTTTAAAATTTGAAAGATCTTCCTAATTAACAAAATAAATTAGTATTACAAGTTTTAAAGATTCTTAAACTATTATTATAAAATCATACTTATGATCCTCTGTTGGCATTAGAATAGATTAATTAAAATGGATTAGAATTTGAATTAGTTTTATTTGAAGGATATTTCAGTAATATTCTAAAGTTCTTGATTTAATATGCTTTGATTCTAAGTCCAGCTTAAATATATGATATCTATTATGATTAAGAAGAAGCATATGCTGAAAATAATAATTCATCTTATGAAATAAGAGATACAGCAATTGATTTTTTGATAGCTTCTCTACAAAGTCATAAGGCAGATGATGTTATCTTAATTATGAATGATTAATTTTAATAAACTCCAGAACTTAAGAACTTTTTAAATGTTATATAAAAGGAAGCTATATATTATTTAATTAGAAATGTAATGCTTGATATGTAATTTGATATGGATTAATATATAGTATAATTCTAATAAGAATTATAATCTACTGATCCTTTATTTGATCCTCTTAAAATTTAGATTTTATAAATATTCATTAAATATTTAAAATATAATGAATAAATTCCAGAAGATATATCATAAATAATAATAAACTTAATATTAACATTATAAACAACAAATAAATGTATAATTCTTTTATAAATTGAATGTTTAAATTAACTTATTGAAATTATAGATTAACCTAGTAAATTTTGGCCTAATATATAATAATTATATAACACTTTTAAAAATTAAGAGAGTAAATTATGTATATTCAATTTTTATTCATAATTAACTAAAAAAGATTCATTTTAAGATCATTCTTGGATAATAAAGTAATTTTATTAAGAATGGCAAGAAAATAATTTGAATATTTAAGAGAAAATTATTGAAACTTTGATTGAAATAATATTTAGAAGTGATTAATTAGCTTAACATATTGAAGTATGTATATTTATAATCTAACAAATATTTAATTCAAAATAATAAATTTTAATTGAAATGGGTACAGAATTATTATTAATGTTTTTAAGTAAATGTTAGGTATTAAATATTTAAATTTCAAATGAGTTTGCTATTTTAGTCTAAAATATATTGAAATCCTAATTAATATAATAAAGTGAATTTTGGATTTAGAATGTACTTATTTAAACATTTCTATTATATTTAAAAAATTATGATGATTAATTAATGAATGAAACATTATATATGTAAATTCAATAATATTCAGAAATCAAAGATGAACCTTATGAACATATATTCATTCCATTAAATATTTATATTTAAGTAAATCAAAAATCTCATAAAGAATTTGGATTAATTATACTGAATTATTTGTTACATCAATCTTTAACTCCTATCTTATTAATCAAATTAGGCAATTTTGTATCTTTAATTAATGATATAGTATTAGAAGATCAAATTAATTCATAAATATTATAAGCACATCTTCAATAAAAACAATTTTAATTGGAATATTTCAAAAATTTTTATATATTATTGTAAAGATCCAATTCTCACTTTACATAAAATTGTTAATAAATTTTAGAAGAATAATCAGCAAAACATTTAGAATCAAATAAACATTATATAATAAGTGAACTTAGACCATTACTTGGAAATCGTAGATTGAGATTAAATTGATTGATATTGTGTTTGAGTAATGTATTTTAAATTAAAATCTTTATTATTTAAAATGATAATTAAAGTTGGTCACCTCAATGGTGAGGTAAGACTATATGATTTATTTGATGAATCTACAGCTTATGATTTGATGATGATGATTCAATCTGAAATGTAATGTGAAATCTCTTTAGTAAGTAATGGTTAGGCTGTTGCAGCATCTGCTTTATTAGGTAATTATAATCATTTACTTTATATAAGGTAGTGACAACATATATTATGTGAATGTAGATGCAGAAGGAGGTAAAAAGAAAAAGAAGAAGAAGAAGAATTTTGCTAAACCTAAGAAGAAGAAGCATAGACACCGAAAAGTGAAATTGGCAACACTTAAGCTTTATAATGTAGATGGTAAAGGTTTAGTTTAAAGATCACATAAATAATGTCCATAATGTCCTTAAGGAGTTTATATGGCTAAACATTTTGATAGACATTATTGTGGAACATGTCATTAAACATTTAGAATGGATGAAGCAACAGTAAGATTAATGTTTATTATATATAGATTAAAGCAAATTTAGAAGCAATAAAAAAATAATAAGCAGCAAAAGCAGCAGCGGCAGCAGCAGCAGCTCCAGCAGGTGGTGCAGCAGCTGGAGGAGCAGCTGGTGGAAAGAAAGGAAAGAAGAAATGATATTCAGTATAATAATATTAAATATATTATGTAATAATCATTATTTAGCACTCCATAAAGATATTGAATTCCTTGTTAAAATTTATGGTTATATTTTTTTATCACTTTTAAGATGTTCTTTTTATTAGGAATATAATTAATTAACTTTTTCATTTAAACATTCAATTACAGAAATAAGGAGCATATTCTATTATTTTTCTGCATGTATTCTACTTACTTAATAATTAGTATCAATTAATTTATCTAATTCTAATTTTAATTTTTTATTATCTTCTTATAATTAAGATGTCTAATTATATAATAATATATTTATATACAATTTATATATGTTATATATTTGTATCTTTTTCTTTATTAATTTTTGCTTCTAATGTTTTAATTTTTTAATCAAATAAGATTTCTTTTTATTATAATTATTATTCTTTTTATTATATTTATTATTGTAACTCTTAAATTGTCTATTCTGAATAATATCCACCAATATTATCATTTAATAATGACTTAAATTCAGAATCTAAACATCTAGGACTCTATTGATAATGAACAGATGATCTTTAAGTTTCCTGTTTTTCCATTTACATAGTATCTACTTATATTTTTAATTCATTTATTTTTTGATTCAATTAATGAATTTCCTTATTTTTACTTCTTTAAATATCTTCAATTTCTTATTTTAATTATTCATTATACATTTCCAATTCTACTAATTTACTACATTCTTTTTATTAATTTTATGATGTCTGTTTTATTTAATCTTACAATTTACTGATCTTTGTGTCTTTTAAATCCATTTATTATTTTACAATCTCAATATTTGTTTTTAATTCATCTATAATTTTATCTTATTTGCATCTTTATGCTAATTCTTATTATAATTATTAATTTATATTTTCCAAATTCTAATAATTTTGCAATTTATTTTATAATCTAAATTAATAACATATATATATAATTACATTTCATTTTATTCTAATAATTCTTTTTTATCTTTATTGATTGTTGTTAATTACATTTTTAATTTTTCTATTAGAGTTCCTGATATATTCTCTTCTATATGAATATTTTTCTATAGTTCTAATTATATTGAATAATAATACATAATTTTATATCATTAATTTCATTTTCTTTTTAGATTAATAATTATTCTTATTATTTAATCTTATTAAAATTTTAATTTTATTATTTATCTTATTATTCTATCAATTATTTTAATTGTTAATTTTCATCTTCTAATTCATCAATTTTATCAAGTAATTTTCTATCAGATTATTAATGATTTCCAATATCTTCTTCTTAATATTAATTAATAAATTATAAAATATTTTGCACTTATTCTTCATTTAATTTAAGTATTGCTTCTTAAGCTAATTAAGATTCAAGCATAATCTATTATTATAATATTTAACATATAAATACTTTTATAATGATTGAAATCAATTTAATTATTTCTGTAATATCTTAATGTTTTGCAATTAATAAACTATTAATTTCAGGTAAATTAGAAATTGATTATTTTAAATTCTAAACTAAGTTTGTTACACATAACATATCCATTTAGAAATTTTTTTAAGGAGAAGATTAAACTTTTTAAGGATAAGCTTCAGGATTCAATTTATTAAGTAAATTAGTTAAAATTCTACCATCACTTAAATCTTTTAAAGTGGTACCTTCTGGTACATTAACTAAATACCCTATCCATTTCAATATAGCATTATGTGACATATTTGAAAATTTAATAAATATTAATAATTAACGAATATAGTTTTAAGAATGATTATTTTTAGAAAACAAAAATGACATTTTTTTGTTTAGAATCTATAAGTAATATAATTGATATTATATTGTAATTATTAATATATATGTATATATTATTTAAAATAAAATATATATACAATATTATTTTTAGTAATAATATCTATAAAGATATAATGTTATGAAGTTTTACATGTAATAATAATGATTTTTGCAATATATTATATTAATATTATAGATTAACATTATACTTAAAATAAATTATTAAAACAGTAATTGAGAAATTTGATAAGATAAATATTTAAATATGATTATCTAAGATGAGTAGATAATATTGATTATTAAAAATACAGTAAAATAGAGAATTAATTAATTTAACTATGTTTAAATAGAAGAATTACTTTATAAAAATATGTTTGCTGTCAAGAATTACTAGTTTTAAGAATTATTAAAGCATTTAATAATAAAAGTTGTGAATAACAAAAATTGTAAAATATATTAATATTTATTTATTATTATGAAATAGATACTTTCATAAAGCTTTACACAAGAAGTGCTGCCTACATTATTTAGAGAATAATCAGAACGTCCAATTCTTGGGCAAAAATAATAAGTCTAGAAAGAGAAATAAGGAAAAGATCTCTATGCCTTAATAGTTGATTAATAAATGATTAAATAGATAGAAATAGTAGAAATATTTAAGGAAGAAGATCATGAATCGATATATAAAAAACATATAGTAAATTATGTTATTTAAATAAAAACTGATTATTTTGATTACACCATTCCTAAAAGATATTCAGAGTTTGAGAAATTACATGAATAAGTAATTTATTAAATTAATATTAGCTTCATTCATATTTAAAAACAATGCCAAAGTTCCCATAGAAAACTTTAATTTAAACAAATTCAAGAAAAATTATAGCTTAAAGATAAGACATGCTTTAATGTAAAGAATATAATTATTTTAAAGAGTTTTTATAACATCTTTTAAAACATTTAGATCATTCTTTGTATATCTTTTTAGATTTCTTAAATATTAAAGGTAGTTATTTATTGTATAAATAAAAAAGAATAATTTTAAAAAGGCGGTTTTGATTAAAATGTTAAACTACATTAATTCAGTAGAGATGAAAATGCATTAAAAGATCTTTTAGATACTAGTCCTAAGAAAATATAACCAAAGAATGAACCAGAATAAATGATAATCCATTATTTAAAAAAGTTGAATGAAAAAATAGATGAGAGAGGCAAACTCTTTTAGTATTAATTAATAAAAAAAATATAGAAAAATGGAAAAATATTGTTTTGGTAAAATTTAATTAGTATCTCCTACTATGTTAAAAGTATTATTTATAGGAGATGATGAGAGAGAACTTGATGGAATAATGTAAGCATTATCAATCTAAAATAATGATATTTAGAGTCATATTAGTTGCATTAACGGTTTTTAGTTTTTTCGGAAAGTTTTAGAATATGATTATAATCCAAGTATATCAAACATACTTAAGTAGATGCCGAATAAGCACTAAAGTAATTTGGAGAAATAACCATTAAACAATTTAAAAAGATAAAGATTTAATCACATATATGTGGATAATAAAAAAATTGTAAACAAGATTCATTAATACTTTTACATAAATATATAAATCAGAATCAATTAAAAGATTAAATGATTAAATATTTAATTGATGATGATGAATGTTTATAAGAATATGAATATTTTGTTCAAACTCATATAAATAAAATGATAGATGAAATTAAAGTAAATAAAGATAGCAATGAAAATCTTTAAGAACTTTTGCCAACTAAATCTAATTCTACAGAACATGCTATCTTAGAATAAGAATCTACTATTGAATAATTATATGAAATAAGTTAAATGAATTTAAATTGGAAATTTGTTTAAGGTATTATAAAATAATATACATTTTATTTTAGAATTTGAAAATCATTTCATGTATCATCTATCTGGTTAATTTGTAAAAACTATTCATCCTCTTAATTGTTCAATTGATAAAGCTATCATTATCTTTACAGATCTCAAAATCTAATGGTTTCATGGAATGGTATAAAAAGATATATTAGAATAATATGATCAATTTAAAAGTTTAATTGTTGAATATTATGTTTGGGAAGATAAATCAACATTTAAAAAAATGGCATTTATAAGTGAATAAGAAATTATTAAAAATAATGATTAATTTTATTAAATTACTATTGTTCCAAGTCCAAAACCATTACCAAATCACTACAAAATTAAATGTGATTAAAAAGGTATTAATAATTATAATATCTAGGATAGAAGATGAGTTTGATATTTTTGAAAAAGAAAACAGATGATTCTACTGAAATTATTGTCTATTAAAATATTATGGATAATACATTTAGAACAGCTTTAACTCCTGTTATTTTAAAAGAAATTCCATGGTTTAATCACACAATAACTAAATTAAAAGCTTTATTATGATATATTACTTAAATTAATATATTATTTTATTTTATTAATTTTTATAAACTCTTCATTATATTATGGGTACTTGTGAATCAGATATTTATAATCCTAATGAAAGTAAACAAGATTCTGATGAAGAATATATTGAAACCGATTTTATGCAATATATTGTATTAGCAAATTGGAAACCTGATGAAAATGATGGATCTAATTCTATTAATTAATTAAATTTTGGCAAAAAAAATTCAGATTATGTAAAAGAACATAACTAATTTAATTAACATTAAAGCATTATCTAATAATCAAGAATAACTTAAATAAGTAATTTATAAAATAATAATAATAATAATTCACAAAATTTATATTATGAAAATCCTAAACCTTTTTATTAATCTGAATAAAAATTTGGAGCTTCAACATTAGCTTTCAGTAGATATAATGAAATAAATAAATCAGATATTTTATTTTAAGAATAAAATCCAATCTAATAACCATTTAATTATTAATTTGGAAATTTATAATAATCATAAATAAAATAAGTTCAATTTTGATTAAGAATAATAATTTCTATTTTATTATTTATGAGATATAAATAAGTAATCGAAAATAATTTATCTATTCAAAAATTAAATTAGTAATTTTCATCTTCTTATTATGTAAAACTATTATTTGTTTCCAGAGGATTTCCATAATCAAAACTAAAATTAACTTTTCTCTCAGAATTCTAATTTACTTTTTATTTTTGAAAACTTTATTAAACTAAAATATTTTGATTGATAGGCTTAAGAACTGTAATTGATTATTCAGGTTTAACCAAACTTTATCTACATTAATTTTCATAAAAATTATTTAGGCTTTAATCTATAATAGAATAGAATTCTTCTGATTATGATTAATTAGTCTAACTATCTTATACATTATTATTATTATTATCTTATTATGATTAAGTATTCTAATCTTATTATGAAATCTTTTAAGATACTACATATTAAATGTTTTAATTCTATTAAATATTTTCAATCTGTTAAATATAATAACTAAATTTTAATAGTTATGTGTTTTTTTCTTTTAATTATAATTCTAATTCATTTATTTTTTCATTCAATAATGAATTTTATTAAATAAGATAAATAAGATCTAATTAAGATTGTTTAATTGATATTTAATAATTAATTTTTTAATTAGAATTATCTTATCCAATTTTAATTAGAATCTCTTTAAGGATTTCCTTATGACTCTAATTAATTTTTAATGCTCCTTCCAATCTTTCTTTAATTATCTTATTATTATTATATTCAGATATTAATTATAAGTTCTTAGATTAAGGAAATTAATTAATTTATAATTATTGTTCCTGCATTATGGCAATCAATTCATTTAATGAATTTTATATTTCTAATTATTCCTAGATATTAATAAATATATCCTCAAATATAGAAAATATGCTTACATCACAAACTCTTTATAAACATTATTCATGATTTTCAAAATTAAATAATTATTGATCATCCATCTTTAATGGTTATAGATAATTCAACGATTTCTAGATTTATTATTAAACAGAAACAAAACTTTCATCTTTCTTTTTCTGAATTTATTTTGAAACTAATAATATCCTACTTGATAATTCATCAATATCAATTTCATCAATTTCATTAAATATTTTTTAGAGTTATCTCATAACTTCTATATTTCCACAATTTTAACAAATAAATGGAAATTTGATAATTTCTAAATATTATTAAACATATATTTACTGAATAGAAGTGAAACACTTGATAAAAATGCTTATTGGCTTTGTTAATTATCCATGTAATATTAAAAATTATAATCGTTAAAAATATATATTTATCATTACTTAAAAGAAATAACACCAGTTCTAGCATTTTAAATAATATTGGCTGGAGCCTATTGTATAATTTATTATTATTATTATTTTTAGACTATTGAAATGTTCTCATGCATTTTACTTTCCCTTTACTTTGCTACAGCACTCATTACTAATATTAAATATTAATTATTCATACCATTCTTTGCATTCATTTTTGCAGATGTACTCATTCTCATTCCACTACTAGGTGTTGTTGCTTTAAAATAATTTACTTTAGAATCTAATTAGTTTTTATTCCCTTAAGTTTCAGGAGTAGATTAAACTAAAGTTTTAGATCTATTTTTTGTATCTTATTATTAAGGTTTTGGTTTATTTTCTAATGCCTCATCTACTTCCATTTTACTTTTGAATAGTAATAATAATACATGTATGCAGCTCTAAATTTATTTGCAAATGTAAATAATTATCCTAAAAAATCTTTAATATTGTAATTATCATTCTCTCCATACATTTAACCTACTTACTTTATTTCTAATTTTATTTATTCAAATTTCTTTTAATATGCTTACATTTTCCAATCTCCTTCCTTTAAAAATTCTTAAAATATCTCCATGAATTTTTATGATGCAACTTTCTATTCCTCTGTCAATATATTAGTATCTATTGCTTTTTATAGAGCAACTATTTCATCATTAATTTTCTTTAATCTTAATATTATTAATAATTATACCCTTTTAAATATTCATTCATTTTATTTTCAATATCTGCTAATTCTACTTTTTATGCATCCTCCAATAATAGTACATCATCAAAAAATACTTTTAATTTTATTTCTTATTATTTCACTATCTTTGTCAAATATGTTAATAAATTTGTTTTCTTATCAACAGCCTTAATAGAATCAACTACATTCAAACTATCCAATCCTATCCCACAAGCATTTGCCTTTGGAGTACCATGATTTAAAAAATTAGCTATATTTAGTGTTAACTGTAAAAAGATTTTTAAACGAGGGTCTGTTTTCACCAGAAGTATTGGTTCTTATAAATAACCAATCTTTTTAAATGTATCATTAAATTCTTAATCAAATGTTCTTTTAAATAATAAACTATCCAATCTCTATCTATATCTATAGATCTTTATGAATTCTGCTAAAAACTTTTCAGCATCATTCACCTTTGTCCAATCTCCTTCAAATTCTCTTAATAATTTTGCATCCTCATCTAAAGGTGCTATTGAAATCAACTTCTCAATCAATTCCATATCTAATTTATCTGAAAGTACATTCAACCATTCTATTATTACATTTGGCTTCACTGGAAATTTCATCATTACTATTGCTGTGTTATTTACTTTTTTTTATTCTTCTATATAAATTAATGTTGGTTTTGGTAGAGCTTTTGTTTCTTTCTTATTAGCATTTGGATCTATCTTCTCACAAAATTTTGATTCTAATAAATCAAAATCCAATAATGGAATCTATGTTATTATAATTTTTACTTTTGTTCCTTGTGGATCTATCTATTATGACCAAAATGTTGTTTTCAACTTGAATTTAGATAACACATTCACATGAACTCTTTTTGGAGCCATATCCTTTTTTGGTGTTCTGACTGTTATTCCAGGTCCCCTTATATTATAAATATTTTACTTGTCCTACACTAGCTTATCCAGGAGGAGGAGGTGGACCAGGTGGTCTAGGTGCACCTGGAGGAGGTGGTGGACCTGGAATTTTAGAACCTGGAATTGGAGGTGGAGGAGGAGGGCCATTTCCTAAAGGAGGAGGAGGTGGTGGGGGTGGTCTGGCACCTCCTGGTAATGGAGGAGGTGGAGGAGGACCTTATTATCCTGGTAATGGAGGAGGTGGAGGAGGAGCTTATTATCCTGGTAAAGGAGGAGGCGGTGGAGGAGGAGGATTCTATTAACCTGGCATTGGTGGTGGTGGTGGAGGCGGAGGAGGAGGAGGAGCTTATGAATTAGGTAATGGAGGGGGAGGAGGTGGTGGTGGTGGTGGAGCTGCTGTCACATTTTAAGTACTATTAGGTAATGGAGGAGGTGGAGGTGGTGGGGGTTATTATTATGACTAAAATTATGATTATTAATTTACAGAAGTTGGTTATGTTTATGTGGTTAATTTAGTACTGTTAATAGCTCCAGGTTATTATATAGTTTAAAGTTAGGCTTTATTTGAAAGTGTTGTATCATTAGTGATACTTGTATTTCCTTATGCCTGTCTTATATCTTTAGTCTTATCAATATTTCTCTTTTTTGCTTCATCGTAAAGTTTCTTTTTGGCATTTTACAATTTCCATTTTTTCAAATAATTGGCTTTGATTTTTTTTTCTCGATGAATGAATATCCACTTGGTTAAATGAGAGGCAATTTATTTTTTTTGTAATATTTTGTGTTATTTTTCTTAGATTAATTTGGTTTAAAGTATTTAAAAGGCTAATCTTTTGGCGTGAATGAATTATATATTAATAAAGATGTATATCTAATAATAAAATAATATTTGCATACCATTTTGATTGAGCAATTTTTAATGACTAAATCATGAGCTTTTGCAAACTCATTTACAATAATTTCTTCATCTGAATTATTAATATTAATTTCATAGCTTTCATCTACTTCTTCTTTGATTTTATGTAAGGGGTTATTGAAGGTTTATGTGACTCTGGTGGGTTCTTATTCATCATCTGATGAATTATTTGTATGAGTAATTCCTTTGAGATCTTCACTATTTTAACTATGTGCACTAGCATCTCCACAATAGTTTTATGATCTAGTTAAAATAACTTATTGTTCATCATCATCATTAATTTCACCTTTGAAATGCTAATTAATTTTAAATTATAATGGATTAGTAAAAGATGTTCTGACTAAAGGAGATTATTATTAAATTAGATCATTGTCATCATCTTCATGGTCATCATCATCACTTTCTATCAGAAAATTATCATCATTTGACATTATTAAATAAAATATGATAATTGTTTTATAAAGTAAATGAGATGTAATTTTGAGAACATTAATATCGATTTATATGTGTTTAAATTTTATTGCTTCATTTTGGCAATTCAGGGAATTCTAGATTATATTTTTACTAGTTTCTTATGAGTTTTTAATTTTAAATTATCTTGGCTTTTGCTTCTTCATATTATAATTGTTTTTGTTTAAGACGATCATCTAAAATTTCTTAATGCTTAGCTGATTCTTCTGATGTTTTTTCTTATTTATCAATATTTGTTTATGGTTTTTTCACCAACACTTTCTTTGGTTAAGCAGATGGTATTTAACTTTATTGATATGATCAGGTACCTTCTCTCTATTTTGATATCTGTCTTTTCATTATTAATCATACGGAAATATATATTATTATATTTTAATATTTTAAAATGTTTCAATATTTAGATCGACTATCTAATGAGAAATAATTCGTTTCTCTAAATTAATTGATTTGTTTAAAATTCAATATATATTTCATTGATATATTATACAAATAAATATACTTTTACATATTATTTAATTGTGTAATATTTTTAAAATTTTACAATAAATATTAAGATCATATGAAACCATTTATACCTTCTATAGGAAACTAAAGTATTCCAACAGATAAAATTGATTCCTATATCTCATATATGGTATTTACTACTTGATTATTTAGTCTTAAGTGTACAATGTTCAATAATATATGCTAATCCATGCTTAAAATTAGATTATGCAAGCTTAATTATTAAAATTATAGAGTGTGAATTAGAACTAGAATCCAATTATTTAATAAAAAATAATAAAGTTATTAGAGTAAATTTAACAGAAAGGTTCTCAGATTTCAATCAAAGACTTTCTTTAATAGATGAAAATGCCCATTTTAGTTAAATATATAGCTAATCTAATGATCTATTTAATGAAATAATGTGTTTCTGATTCTGAAGAATTCATAATAAATTATATAAGGGATCCAAATTCCATAGTAATCGACAAACAATAATGGACATTAATTTGTGATATTGTCAGTAAGAAATTAGTTTAATTGGGTACTAAAGACATATAATGTACAAATGGTAATTATTTAAACAAGCTTAGATTCATAGATTGCTATAATTAGTTAATCACTTCTATTTAGTAATATCATCAGTGAAGTTATTTTTAAAAAATTGCATATAACTTAAGATAGTACTTAATAGATAGTTTTAAGAACTCTAAATGATTTATTATCAGATGATAATAGATCTGCTGAATTTCTATATCAATTTCTTTGCTAACCGGAATAATAAATACTGACTTTAGAATAATGTTAATTGTCATTTTCTAAGATGTTTTAGAAAATGGGTCAATATTTTCATTAATCTAATTTAATAGAATAAATAATTGAGAATTAAAAGTAATTTAATACAAACGGTAATTTTGAATGTCATGCAGAAAAAGTACTATTTAAATATTATATTTAAGTATTTAAAAATAATTCGAATGTATTAAAATAATGATTAAAAATAAATAAATGAATAATTAATAAAAGGATTGTTTGGTGAATTAAAATAAATTGATTGCAAAGGATTCATCTTTAATTCAACTAGATTAGAAGATAAATTAAAATCATTTTTATTTATGTTTGTTGAATTAGTTAGAATAGAGAATGAAATAATATAAATAGTAATAGAAAATACAATGTAATAATTTAATATTATTTATAGTTCTGAAGAACCATAAAGGAATCCATTAGAATATTATGCAAAATTAATAGAGAAGATTAAAAATAAATGTAAAAGTAAAGAAGATGAATTTTGTAATTGTAAAAGATGTTAATGTGTTAAAAGAAATAGAGATAGTGCAAGAGAAGCATAAAAGAGAAAAAGGGAAGCCTTAGAGAAAATAGGACCATTATAAAAAGAATATGAGAAGATTGAAAAGAAAGTATTAAATAAAATGTTAAATTAGGTATTAAATTTAGAATTATCAAATTCAAAATTAAAATCAGTTTTATTTTAAGCATTGAAAATTCCAGTGATTGAAAATATTATAAAATAAGATTATTAGGATACTTTATTAAATTTAAATTTGACAAATACCAATTATCAAGAGAGTCAACAATAATCCAATTAGATTGAATAAGAATAATCCATATGAAAATTATTTGTTTTTAATTTATTTAATAGAATTTTATTATATTTATTTAATCTCAATTAACAAAAAATAGCATTACTATTATCAATTGTATCAATTTAACTGATGATAAAAATATATCTACACAATTTAGACCTTTTTAATCCCAAATACATGTTTCAGTTTTATTACATTAATATTCATTATAATAATTTTAACATAATGGTTAACATATCTAATTATTATAATATAATTACATTTTAAGATATATTAAATCTACAAAAGGTTTATGGACAATCTTATTCATAATATTGATGACAACTTTTTGATATACATTAATTTTATTAATACGAGAATGTACAATAAATATATTAATTTAAACATAAGCATATATCTGTAATTTCTTCACAAGAAACACAAGAATAGTCTTTCATTTAAACACAAACATTTTTGCCAATATAAGAACCATTACAATGTTTTTGATCCAAATATTTACATGTTAATGGAGTGCATTATTAAATTTAATTTGATAGATTAATCCAAGTACATTGAATACCTTAAAATATGTTAATTTAACATTCATTCTTTGATTAAATTTATGAACAATATCTTTATTAATTACATTTTAATGTTTAATAATCCCATTCACATTCATTTAAAAGACATTATGTTTTATTCATATGTTAACAAGTCTTTTATATACAAATATCTATATAAATACATTCATCTGGATAAGATAAACATGTTATTTGATCTAAGAGATTACAATTTAAACTTTCACATCCAATTTATTATTTATTTGGTATACATTTTATATTATTAAATTTATAATTAGTACATTTTTATTATTATTTAATTAAATTATTACAATTTGTTGATTCATGACATTAATATAAATTATTCAAATAACAAATTTTATTATTAATTTGAGTACCTTCGCAATTATTAATATTTAAATCAGAACATCTTTTTTCTCTGCATTTACCCATTATAATAACATCATGCATATATATGACTTCAAAAAAACAATATTCAATATTTTAACACAATATTTAATCTTAAAGAGTTGAACATTTTGGATATTTTTGGATATAAGCTAAACATTCACATTTTGAATTAGTCCATTGACATTCATTTAATAGATTACATCCTTTATGACTTAATCCAATAGTTGAACAATAATCAATATTTGATGATGATATACAACCATGATGTAATTCACTATATTTACAGTTATCAATAGCTAAAGAACATACCTAATAATTGGCTTATTTTATTTCATGACAAAATTACTATTTATCTGGATTATATATTTAACATTTATAATCCTTAAAAATACATCCCTAAATAGCAGAACAAGCAAGAGCATTTATTCCTTCAATATCACAAGATGATAATATTGAGTTAGGTTATTCACATGAATTAGATTTTGAATTATATACACAAGGATCATCTATAACTAATGAGCAAACAATAGAATTAACATTTAATTTAATATCATTACATAAACTATATGGATGATATTCTTAACAAGTATATTGATTATTAGATTCTAGAATCCAAACACATGGATCTATTTTAGATTAAAGACAATCTTATTTATTTAATCTAAAAGAATTACAAGAATTAGAATATTATATTTATGATTAATCTTTTTACATTAATAGTCTATTACTTTTAAATATACATTATTTCTTCTTATCATCCCAAATACACATTTAATTTTATATTCTAACACATGCTTACTTATTTAATCCAGGAATCATAGGAGAACATGTGAGATTCTTAATATCAGTAACTATCATACAAGAATTTGTATATGAATTATATTATACCAAATCACCATTATTAACTAATCCACAAGCATTGCTATTTATTAATTTAAATGATTTTGGTGTAATAACTTATCCTAATTAACTATTAATCTTTTAACATGTTTAATCTATCCATTAACATTATATACCAGTAGTTATAATTTTTAAACAAGACAAATAACTTAATTGATCATTACAATCTGAAGTATTAAAATCATGAAATTCTTAACATTCACCTACAGACAATTCAAAATTTGAATTTGATTAAATATTTTTTATTTAAATACTTTTATACATCCATATACATTCAATTTATACTTAGATTATACAAGATATTTTATTTATATTATTTAAACATCTTGTAATTGTTTCACTTTCTTCAAATATTTCACATTAATTTTATTTAAATTAACAAAATTGTCCTTTCTTTTCAACATCCATACAAGCTCTTATATTTCCACTTTATTCTTTTATATCATTACATTAATCACTCTCTAATTTTTATTTGAATATACATTTATCTATCATTTAATCCCAATAACAAGGTATAATTTAAATTAATCTACATTATAGTTTACTTTATGCTTATTCACATTAAATTATATCTATTATATTACATTTATATAATTTATAATCTAAAATGCAATTAACATTTAAAATAGAATTACATACACTCTTTGAAGCCAATTAAATTTGATCACAATTAGATTAATTTTAATCATATCTAGAACATTGTTCATTTAACCATTTACATTTAAATTTAGATTAAAATAAACATTAATCTTTAGTATAAGCTTATGTACAACAATCAATAGTATTTTACTCATTTTTACAATTTAAAATCTAATCATTTGGACCATAACAATAATGTTCAAATTTACATTATAATGATTCTATTGTTCTATTTAAACAACTATATACATTCAAACCTCTCTCACATTTAAATTGTTTCAAATTGTTAGTATTATTTATTAAATCACAAGATCTCTTTTTTTAATCATATCTACATTCTCCATCATTTACTTATTCACAAAACACTAAATTATTTATTATACCAACATCTTTACACTTTATATCTTATATTAATAAAGGATTCTAAACTTAACATTACTAATCAAAATATTTACAATAAACTCCTTCTTTACTCACTCTTTAACAACCATAAGCATTAATAGTCTCCATACATTCAATAATTGAATAATCTATTATCTTTTTACAACCATTATTAAAATAACAACCTTAATCTCTTACTTTTTAACATTATTCAAATGTGATAGCATCCTTACATAATATTATATCATTCTCTTTTTTATAATAACAATGATAATCTGAATCAAATTCACAATCTTAATTTTTATTACATGCTATTTAATTATAACCATTAGTTATATCTACACAATTAATAATTTCATCATTTGTTACAATTTCACATTAAAATTATTCCTTATTAAATTTGCATGGTAAATCTTTAGCTTTTTCACATAAATATCCTGTATTAATATTCTTAATTGTGTTACAAATTATATCATTATTATTAGGTATTATTTAATGTTAGCATTTATTATTTATATATTAGCAATTTTAATTAATATTATTTACTTTTTAACAACTCAATTGATTTAAATTATCATCACATGTAATTATTGATAAATTAGATTACACTATTTCTTAACATTCATTATTATCCCATCTTAACATTTTATTACTTATATTATATTATTCACAAGTTAATTAATTATAAGAAATATGATTATCCTCCCAAACATTATTTTCTATATTTTATTTATCATACTCTTTGCATTTTTTTGTCTCTATATCATAATAACAAGCTTTATCTATGGCAAGAGAACAAACTACTGGATTAGTTTACTCATTAAATACACCACATTATTTCAAGTTTTCATGATTAATTACTCTACAACCTATAATTTAACTAAACTAACAATATTATCCCTGTCTCATTATTGATAAACATTTATCTTCATTGATTAATTCATCACAATTAGCCTCTTCAAGAATATCTTAACATTAACCATTATTAAATTTACAAAACAATCCTTTAGTATTAAATAAACAACCCTTTTAATTTAATCCCTCTGTAGAACATGTTAAATTAATTGCCTATGTAGTTTAACATTAATTTTTATTTTAATCATAAAAACATACTTAATCAGTCTATTTAGAACAAATACTTGCCTTTATTTTTGTATTATTTGTTGATAAAAATTGACAATTTTCAGTAGTATCTAAATTCTAACATTTCCCATCTTGAAATTTACACAAAATTGATAAAGATATGCAAGAGAATTAATTGAGTGTTTAATCACATGAATTTATTGTACTTAATTCTTAAAATGAAATACTTTGACATTATTATTAAGTGTATCTACAAAATACTTTAGTTTTTTAAAGACATGCATTTTTGTTCATACCTAACAGATTACAATCATTTATATATGGTGATCTATTCTGAATATTTATACATCTTTTAGTCTTTGAATTGTATATAAAACTTGGAGTTGTTGGTATTGAATCTAATTAAGAACAAACAGAAATTGAATACAATATATTATCAATCTCAATATCTTCCAATCTATTGACTTCATAAGTTTAACATTTACCTGCTTCAAATTTGCAGGTCTTTTTTTAATTTATACAACTATTTAAATTAAGTAATATATCATCTTATTCACAATCAAGAATCTAACTGTTTTCAGATGAACATATTGAATTTGAGAATTTACATTTTCCTATTGTTGAATTGATACAACTATATTCATTTAAACCTGATGTGTCACATTATAATTTATCAGTTATAATAGAAGATCTACATTAATAATTTGAATCTCTGAAACAACTTTTATCTTTTACATCTAGAGGTACTACTAAGAGAGTACATATTGAACCATTATAAAAATCATATTTTTATGTTAAAAAATCAGTACAACTTTAAACTGATAAATCTATTTATTTAATTGATTAACATTTTTATGTATTTGACCAAACACATAATTAATTTTCAAGATTTAAACATCCAAATTTATTTGCATCTTCACAAACATAATTACTTTATTTTTCTTAAGCTTTTCTACATACTTTATCATCTTGATTCCAATAACACATCTCCTTATTAGAGAGTAGACAATATTCTTATGTATATTGTTATTCACAATTTCCAATATTCTCATTAAATATAGTACATAAATTAGTTTCTGGATGAATCCAACATTATTATATATCTTTACAAGCCTTAGGATTGTATAATGAACAATCAGATAAAGTAATAAAATCATTTACTTCTTTACATTTTGATTGATCCCATTATAAAGGTTTATCAAAATGAGATGATACACATGATGCCTGATTTAATGAATCTAAATTTGGAGTATTCTAAGGATTGAGAATTTTACAAAAATGATCTGAATCATAATACATTTTATCTCCTTTACATTAAGTACATGCTTTAGATGAAACTAGATTATTCATTAAATCATTGCACTAATATCCAGTAACATCAATACAAGTATCATTGTACATACAGGATTATTCAACATTACTACATAGTATTTCAGGTTAAGATGTTTTTAATAAATTTACTTAATTACATAAATAGTATTTATTGGTTTTTATTTCAATTTAAGATATATTTTCAATTGTAATTTCTATTGTAATTATTTTAGGTGCATTTATCATAATATCTTTACTTTGACAATATCCAAGCTATTCAAAATTGCAATTACAACTCTCACACATAGATTAACTAAAAGATCCATCACAATCACATGATTAATTACTTGTACATTTCTAGTTTACTTTATCAAATCTACAAAATGTGGAAGCAATCGAACATAATCCAGGAGATGGAGAACTTGTAGAAGTATCACAAGTATTATCATTAGAAATCTATAATTAAACACATTTAAATATTGTTCTTTTGAAACTTTAACAACCTTATGGGCTATCTTATACTAATTCAGAAACACAAATAGCATTTTAATTCATTGATTTATTACAATTATTAAATGTAGTATCATCTTCAGTATATTGATAGAGATTATCACAATCTCCTATATAGATTTCATTGTTTTGAATCTCATTACATCCACCTTAATTAATATCAAAAAAACACTATTTTTTATTCATTTCTAAACACAATGCTTTTGAATATCTATATGAGCATTCATTAACATATTCTTTAATATTTCCAGAACATTTGTCTTTGCAATCTGGATCATCAGAAGAACAACCTTCTTATTTTGGTACCCATTTCAATGAGTGTAGTTATTTAATTGAACAATTATAAGTAATAGAATTCCAAAAACAATATTTTTCATAGTTGCATGTTTATACTTAATTTGTATTTTCATAACATTAATTAGGTCCATAAGTTTAAGTTAAATTCTCAGATATTGATGCACATGATAAATAATTATAATTACGTGTCTAATCATTCATTAAATCTGAACATAGTACTTATTCATCAATATCAACAGGTGTACATATTTATTTAACACTATCAAAATAACATGATTTTGGTATTTCCATGCAGATTTATATATTTATAAGAGTAGTTGTTGTACATTATGTTTATTCACCTATAAATTGTTTGCATCTTAGATTCAAGTTGATTTCATTTGGATCATAATAACAATGATATCCTTAAGTATTTTAGAGACAAGCATATTTATTAATATATTATTTACTACAATTGTTGTTTTTTTCTGTAATTAATACACATTTTGGTATTTAATATTCATATGAATTTTAAATAAGATGACAAGTTAATTCATTATATTAATTATTTTAATTTAATGAAGAAAAGAATATTTAAGAGGTCTAAATTAATTTTAGACATTTAAATCTTTGATTATCCCAAACACAAGGTTCTTTGGTTACTTTAATGCATAATATTTTATTTAAATTATCTTCACATCTTAAATCATCAATCTTTGAATAATTTTGATAACATGTTTAAGTGGTTACATCCCATCTACATTCTAAAGTAGTTAAATTATAACATGCTAAAGAATTAATTCCATCATATTCACATTCATTTGTAATAGAATCATTAAATTAAATACATTTATTATCTTAAAATTTACACATTTGACCATCCTTTATTATTTAAGTACATACTTTTTTACTCACTTTACCTAAAGTTCCATCATATAATAGACAATCTTCATTTGGATAAGTATCTATACAACTATCAGATTTTTCAAAGAATTGACAAGCTAGATTATTATTTTCTATACAAGCTTTGAAATTTTAATTAGAATTACAGCTTATGATTTAATCAAATTCATCATCAGTCATGTCTTCACATTTCAAAGTGAGAACATTCCATTTACAATACTTTTCTTTAGTAAATGCCAAACATATATTTCTATTTCCAGGTATTTAACAACTATTACTATAATTAGGAGTAACTGAATTACATTTTCTAATAGATTTATCATATTAAAAATATTTCTTATTATTATTTTCATTTATTATTGCTTCTATTGCTAAACAGGCATATTCATTTACAGCATTGGCAATAAGAAACTAATCAAATTATAAATAATTATTAAAATTAACATTCAAACAAAGTCTTCCATTGTAATAACATCTTTATTTAGTTGACCAATTTATTCGACTGCAAGATTTAACTGTCATTTATGAACACTTAAATTTATTATAATTATAATAGGCTGCAGCTGTTTCATCATTTATAACACTTATTTATTTGTTTGTTAATTGAGTACATCTTAAATTATGACTAAAATAACAAAAGAAAGATGGATTTGAATATCTACTACAAGAATGTGCATTGATTCCAATTTTATCATTTTCAGTGCAACATGGAGTTGTACAAAATTAATTCAATTTTTCACATACTCCTTTTTTTATATTAAATTTACACAATCCTCTATTTAAATCTTATTTATTAATTTCCCCCTTTGTATAATCATACTCAGGAAATTCATGCTCTATTGATGCACATACATTTTTATTTACTATTACATTTTTACCAGAAAAATCTAAACATTTTGAATTATATGGTACATCTATACTTTAACATTTGTTAGCTCTATAAGACCAAGTACATAATTGATTATAAGTAGTAATAGCTTAACATAATCCAATTGTAGGAGAATTTTAATCACATTTAATGATTGATAACAATGATTTTTATGTATCATTTAATCTTTTACATTAATTAGCTTCTGTATCAAAATAACAATTTTTAGAGGCAATAGCACATGCATAAGTATTTAATCCTATTTCTTCACATTACATTCCATTAACTATAGAATTAACACATCCTAATTCTTATTGAGAATATCTACAAGGTTCTTTCATAAATTCAACTAAGGCACAAACTTATTAATTTACATACTAAAGTGAAATACATTAAACTTAAGATATTTATTCTTTAGACTTAATTTAAATACATTGATTTTAAGTCCATCTACATATCTATCCAGGTTTCATAATTGAAGCACATGCAACTTTATTTAAACCAAATAATGGATTAGAACAATCAGTATTTTATAAAAACTGTTTTTCTTCATTGTTTGAATTCTGTATATTAATGCTCTTACATTACATTAAGGTAGAATCAAAATAACAACCCAAACTATTAGATTCAAATACTTGAGAACATGCTATTGGATTTACAAACTTAAGACTATTACAAGTTGTTTTATTATTTATAATCTTTATATTAACACATTTCTCATTGGACCATTAGCAAGTAATTCCAATTTACATCAAATTCAAACATCCTTATAAATTTAGATATGGTGTATTACAAGAATCTAATTAATTACTTATTTCACACAAATGTCTTTCAGCATTATATTTACATTATACATTTGGTTTTGTTATAGATTAACAAACATTACCATTAAATTTGGTGATATGATTATTAATTAAAAGTGGACAATCAGTCTATTAATTTACTGAAATTCTTTTGCATTCTAATCCATCCCATTAACAATATTAAAATTGTGTTGTAATATTAATACAAGCATCTTCATTCAATTCCATCTTACATTAAAATTACTATAAATCAATTTAACTAAGTTCTTCACATATTCCTCTAAAGAATGTACAATATTGATTCTTAATTTGAAGACATGCTTATTTAGTTAATCCATCAGTATTGCATTTAAGATTTTATAATTCAGTATTTGTTGGTAGTCTACATTTTTTTTTGATATTATCATATTAACAAATTCCTTTAAAACTTTAGCAAACACTAGGATTGACATCATAAATTTAATCACATTATAAAGTGATTTCAGTCATATCTAAACATTTATTGTTTTTCCATTAACATTTTATATTAGGATTCATAATTGTTAAACATCCTAATCTATTCAGTTTTAAATTACAATTTTAAGCATTTTCAATCTATTTACATTAATTGTTCTCAAATATACCTATATAATTTATATAAATATACATGCTTAATCTATAGTTATAATTTCAATACATCCTTATTCATTTAATCCTAATTATGAACATTCCATACTCATAAGCATTTATTCTGTTACTTAAATACATTTATATTAACCATAAAAACCATTACTCATACATCTTATATTCTGAATCTTCTAACACAAAGATGGTGTTACAGATCTATTTTTGAATACTTTTGAGCATTCATCTTCTTAAGATATCTAATCTTAAAATTATTCACATTTATCATTCCAAATACAATCACTCTTTTATGCATTCATACAAGCATATTATGAATAATTTAATGCACAACCAAGATTTTTGAAATGTTACTTTTTTGCTTTTAAACACCTATTTGTGAATATGCCTATCAAATATATATATATAAATACATGTAGCTTCAGTACCATCATTTTATGTAAGTTGATTCAAACATGATAATTTATTCAATGTATTTATACATCCATGGCTAGTCTCTCTTGTTGGTAGACAGGCATTCTCAAATTCATTAAAATAACCTTATCATTACAAATTATATATACACTAAATCCCATCAGTCTTTGAAATACAAGCCTTAGCATCCATAGGGTAATAATTACAGAACATTGTTGAACTTAACATAATAGTTAGACATAAGAGTAATTCTGTTGATTAAATCATATTTAAATTTCAAATATTATTCAATACATATATACATTTCCACTACCATTTTTTTAATTTAATTAAAATTTGTTGTTTTAATATTCTATACTATCATCGAAAAACATTTAATTTTATATTTATTCAGTATCAGAATTTAGTCATTTCTCATTAAATGAATCTAATTTCAGAAAGTATATTTAAGTAAAATTTCATTTTTAAATTAACTCTTATTTTCAATGAAGTCATTCATTTATAAATTTATATTAGTAATTAAAAATTTAATATATTGAATCAGTTATAGAGTTAACTTTTCACACCAATAGATTAGTTGTAATATAAAATAGAATAAAATTATATTTATTATCATTATGATGGTATGATTTAAAAGTATTAATTGGTATTTTATTCTTATATCTTATATATCTGATTGAAATATCAAAATTTGCATCATCTTATGACATAAAGATTCACTTCTTAATTTTATATAGATAAACACCCAATATATTTATATATATTCTAAGAATATATATAATAAATTTAATTAATTCTTTATTATATTAATATAATATTTATTAATTATTAATTAACTTATTCAGAATAAACATACAATGATTAATATTTTACTATTTATTAAGAATAATCAAATCAATTTCCACTTTTGAACTTTTTAGCTTGATCCATTCTTCTCTTTTCTCTTTATTCTTTTATAAACAGGGCAAAAATTAAAAAAAATAAAAACGCAATAAAAGTTAACGACAAAAATCTATAGATTGGATTATAATTTGCTGATGTTTCATCTTCTATTATTAATGTACCTCTCACAATTCTTCGTTTTCGTATTTCCTATAAAGGATTTGCATTATTTATATATTTCACAGATAATATTTAATCATACTTAAANACAATCACTCTTTTATGCATTCATACAAGCATATTATGAATAATTTAATGCACAACCAAGATTTTTGAAATGTTACTTTTTTGCTTTTAAACACCTATTTGTGAATATGCCTATCAAATATATATATATAAATACATGTAGCTTCAGTACCATCATTTTATGTAAGTTGATTCAAACATGATAATTTATTCAATGTATTTATACATCCATGGCTAGTCTCTCTTGTTGGTAGACAGGCATTCTCAAATTCATTAAAATAACCTTATCATTACAAATTATATATACACTAAATCCCATCAGTCTTTGAAATACAAGCCTTAGCATCCATAGGGTAATAATTACAGAACATTGTTGAACTTAACATAATAGTTAGACATAAGAGTAATTCTGTTGATTAAATCATATTTAAATTTCAAATATTATTCAATACATATATACATTTCCACTACCATTTTTTTAATTTAATTAAAATTTGTTGTTTTAATATTCTATACTATCATCGAAAAACATTTAATTTTATATTTATTCAGTATCAGAATTTAGTCATTTCTCATTAAATGAATCTAATTTCAGAAAGTATATTTAAGTAAAATTTCATTTTTAAATTAACTCTTATTTTCAATGAAGTCATTCATTTATAAATTTATATTAGTAATTAAAAATTTAATATATTGAATCAGTTATAGAGTTAACTTTTCACACCAATAGATTAGTTGTAATATAAAATAGAATAAAATTATATTTATTATCATTATGATGGTATGATTTAAAAGTATTAATTGGTATTTTATTCTTATATCTTATATATCTGATTGAAATATCAAAATTTGCATCATCTTATGACATAAAGATTCACTTCTTAATTTTATATAGATAAACACCCAATATATTTATATATATTCTAAGAATATATATAATAAATTTAATTAATTCTTTATTATATTAATATAATATTTATTAATTATTAATTAACTTATTCAGAATAAACATACAATGATTAATATTTTACTATTTATTAAGAATAATCAAATCAATTTCCACTTTTGAACTTTTTAGCTTGATCCATTCTTCTCTTTTCTCTTTATTCTTTTATAAACAGGGCAAAAATTAAAAAAAATAAAAACGCAATAAAAGTTAACGACAAAAATCTATAGATTGGATTATAATTTGCTGATGTTTCATCTTCTATTATTAATGTACCTCTCACAATTCTTCGTTTTCGTATTTCCTATAAAGGATTTGCATTATTTATATATTTCACAGATAATATTTAATCATACTTAAAATAATATAATTATTTATACTTGATCTTAAGTTATTGGAAACACTTAAGGTATTAAAAATCTATCTACAATTTCATCACAATTACCCCAAGTCAAACTACCTCTGTAAGTGATATATTTGTCATTATGTTTTAAATGAGAAGCTAAATTAATCATATTAATTGATAATTAATCATCATCTTCAGTTAACTTGTAATAGTATTAAAAAAATTACATTAAAAATTTAAGGATATGTAATTACTGTATTATTTTCTTATGATATTTCATCCTAATTGATAATTTTGAAAAAAAATGAAAGTCCTCCTTTAATATTGGGATTCTTGTAAATATTAAGCAAGTCTCCCCAAATAACAAGTTCTAAATCAAAGGATTATTCAAAAATCTAATGTTCAGCTGGAGCAATTAATTAAAATTCTGTTGGTCTATAACCAACCATTAATCCATGAGGATCATGTCCTAACATTCTAAATTCTGGAATTTATCTATCTGGATCATCTGTAAAAATGTATCTCTTATTTTCAGTATCCTCCTCTCTCTATCCTACAAGAATATCATCCTTAAATCTTAATTCAAGTTTATAGTATTTAGCATCCTGATTGATGACAAATATATTATTAATAATTTACAAATGTGTCTATAATACTGATTGGTGATTATCGTTCACCTTTTCCACATAAATATTCGTCTTAGGAATACACTTAAGAAATAACTAATAATATATAAAACATTAATTAATCTTCTTAATATTGAATAGAGAATTTGTGATTAAGTAAAAATTATATGAATTTTATTGAATCATTCTTATTGCGCACTTTCAAATATTTAATGAATAAATGATTATAAGAAATAGAAATGATTTAAATATCCATAAGTCATTAGATTCTTTAATATTAAAAATTATTTAAATCATAAAATGGCAGAAAATTAAATGTAAAATTGGGGTGACATGACATCAGATGAAGATAATGATAAACCAAAAAACGCTTCTGATGAAGAAGATAATCGAAATAAGAAAAGATAAAATTACAGAGGCAACAATAATTAAAGAAATAATAATAAAAGAGGATACAGGGATAATAAAGACAACAACAGATAGGATAATGATCAAAGAGATAATAAGGATAATTAAAGGAATTATAAAAATAGAGATAACTACAGAGGTGGTGATAGAAATGAAAGAGGTGATAGGAATGACAACAATTAAAGAAGAAATTATAAAGATAAAAATCGTAATCCATTTTATTCTATTATTATTAGACCTTATTGAATAAAAGAAGGAGGAACTTACTAACTTTGCTGGAGAAAGTGTTAACATCCTTATTCATCTCTAAAATCATAATTTGAATGAGGATTAAATAAAAGAAGCATTGAATGACATAGTCATGAAGAATTTCTCAATCAATTAGAGTCAAGCTAGATTTGATGTAGATAAAGATAATGCACTTAAATTGCTTGATGTCCATAAATTATAAATTGTAATTAGATAACACATAATTTTATATAGGTAGTTGATGGTTAGATAGAAAGAATTTTTATGAAAATTGATTTTGATAAGGATAGGAATTATGGAAATAAAGGAAAATATCAAAAGCAATAAAGATAATTTAATGAAGAAAATTAAAATGACTTTGTACACAAAAGAAGAGATTAATAGTACAGAGGAGGAGACTATCAAAATAGAAGAGGAAATGATTATCAATAATAACATTAAAAAGTTAATGAGCCTCCTAAAATCATGAGAAACACCTCATCACGTGTAGATGAAACTAATGTAATTAATTATTTTTATTATCAGGTATAATAACCTTAAGTTACTAAAAATGTTGAAGAAACTCCTACAAATGCAGGTGAAAAGAAAGTTGAATAAGTAGAATTGTAAGAGAAATAATAAGAACCTCAAATTCCAACTGATGAATAATAATAATAAATGCAATAATAACAATAATAATAATAATAATAAGAATCTAATTAAAGAAGGTATAACAATTATAGAGGAAATGACTATGAAAATAAAAACTATCATAATAATAATTATCATAATAATTATAAAAATAATTTTAGACATAATAATAAATATGATAGAGAACAAAACAATCAAGATGATAATGCAGAATAATAGCAAGATAATTAGGATAATTAATTTAGAAGTCACAAATAATATAGAGGAAATAAATATTAAAATAGAGATTAAAGAAATTTTTAAAATGATAATGATTAACCTGCAGAATAAAATGAAGAAAATAATTAAGCATAAACAAGAGGTGGATAAAAAAATTATGAAAATAGAAAAGATAATTACAACAGAGACTAAAATAGAAATAATAGGGACTACAATAGAGATTATAATAGAGATAATCGAGATTATAATAGGGATAAAAGAGAGTAAAGAGAAAATAAAGAACAAATTGATAATAGAGATCAACAAACTAATAAAGATAATCAAAATTTGGGAGATAAAAACGATTAAGGAGATAATAGAGAATAGAAAGATTAAAGAGAATAAAGAGATCAAAGAGATTATAAAGATTAAAGAAATAAATGGGATAATAGAGACTAAAGAGATAATAGAGATTAACGATATTAGAGAGATAATAGGGATTATGGAGATAATAGAGACTAAAGATATTAAAGAGATAATAGAGATAATAGAGATAATAGGGATAATAGGGATAATAGAGATAATAGAGATAATAGAGATAATAGAGATAATAGAGATAATAGAGATAATAGGGATAATAGAGATAATAGAGATAATAGGGATAATAGAGATAATAGGGATAATAGAGATAATAGAGATAATAGGGATAATAGAGATAATAGAGACAATAGAGACAATAGAGATAATAGGGATAATAGGGATAATAGAGATAATAGGGATAATAGGGATAATAGAGATAATAGAGATAATAGAGATAATAGAGATAATAGAGATAATAGAGATAATAGAGATAATAGAGATAATAGAAATAAATGGGATAATAGAGATAAGAGAGATTAATAAGATAATAATGATAATAGAGAGAGAAGAGATAATAATGAATATAAAGATAAAAGAGAAAATAAAGATTATTAAGACAATAGAGATAATAATAGAGGAAATAGGGACAATGCTAGAGATAATAAAGGTTACAGAGACAATTAGCCTTAAAGAGAGTATAATAGAGAATAGAAAGAAGGATAAAACAACGATCAAGAAGATCAAAAAAGAGTAATCAACAGAGACAGAAAGCCTCATGTAATACTTATAAATATCTTAGAATGAACTTTAAGATTTTGCAATACCTCATCATCATAATAAACAAAAGAAGGAATCTAAAAAGTAATAAATCAAATCTTAAAATCCATTCGAGGCATTAAAAAATTGATATTTCTTATAAATAATTCAAGATTAATTGTGTTATCCAAACTTTATATTTAATTTAAATTGAAATTTTAGCATTCTTCTATCAATTCATTTATATATTATATAATTTATCTGATTAAATTATATTTACTCTTTTTAGATAGTTATGGATCTCTTTAAACTAATGTTTTTCCTTCAATTTTTTACAGAGTTTTTCTTACTAATAATTAAAATATATTTATTTCTTAATTATTATTTTAAAAATGTCTTAGATAGTTTTCTATATACAAATTAGCACAACCTAAATTGATATAATATAAAAGAAAGTAATATCATATGTTAGATTTATAATTTCTTGGAACTTAAATATAATTTGGATATAAAAATCAAGTTTATTTTTATTCTTAAAAAGTGAAAATATGAAGTGTTCCTTTACAAGTTCCTGCAACAATAATTGAAGAATCTGGAGTTATAGGATCTAGTACTCCTTAATAGGAACTTAAACCTCTAAATCTTAGACCAGAATCTAGAGCATCCTGCATTGAATGTAATAACTATCCATTAGCTCTAAATTGATATTAAATTAAAATTACCCATCTAATATATTAATACTACCTTCTTTCTCTGATTAACTTAATAAAATAGTCTTAGTAGAAGAACTATCTTTTACTATGATAGAAGTCAACCCTCTTACAAAACTAGTATGGGAATTTCTATTAACCCAAACAGATTTTCCTGTTTAAATGTCATAAGCACTAACTTTTATAATAATGAAGCATACTCTATCCAGAATCAGATCCAATAACTAAAAGTTCAGTAGGACCTTTAGTATTCTAAGTTTTCTTTTACACAATCCTTAAAAACTCAACACAAAAGGCTAATTCAGTGTCTTATCTTTATATTTTATATAGCAATTTTCCATCATTCTTAAAAACCTTAATAACACCATTGATAAACCCAACAGCAAGATAATCAAATTTTTCTTTTACTTGTGAAATCTTCCTGAAAGTACTTATATCTTTGTTTTACTCATCTGGATTAATTTCTTAAATCATAAGCATTCCGAATGGACTTGTAAAATCAACAATTTAAATAGAATTTTTGGAACCATGAGCAAAACAAATACCTAAATCTTTCATCTTAACAATTTCAAAATCATAAGTAAAAAATGATTGAGTCTTAATTTCATTAACACATTTTTTGCTAATCCAATCCCAAACTTTAATTAAACCATGTTATGCACTGAAAATTAAATTATTACATGATATTTCATTGCTTAATCTAGTAATTAAATTAATATCACAATAATGAATTCTTAGTCCAAAGAACTCTCTTTAATGTGCACCAGTTATAGTAGATAATAAATGAAATTTATGATCATCAGGAGAATCTAACCAAACCTTTATGTCCATATCATCACTTGTAGTTACTATAGCCATTTAACCATAACGTAGAGATTGATCAAATTCTGATAATTATCCTTAAGCTGTCTCTTTTACTTTTTATATTTCTCTTTCACTTAATCTAAACATAGATACACTTCTTATCCAATTTTAATGGGCTCTATGAATAACTTATTAACATCTCAATTATTTAGGTTCAAATTATTTTGAAACAACCATTTCCATTTAAGGTATTTCAAAATTACAAAATTTATCTAATGTTTTTGTCAATAATCTAGTTATTCTTTCCTTAACTTTTTCAAAATATTATTAATTTTCTTCTATTAAGTCTGTCATTTTCTAAATTTATAAATCTTCATAATCTTTTGTTCTATAAACTTCATGAGTTTTAGGATCAATACCAAAGTATTAGGTTAATTTAACAACTAATATTTTAAGGATAATATACTTTTTTTTCCAAAATTATCAATTTAACTAGTCTTTCCTAAATTTTTTAATGTAGTTTTTATTTCATCTATATCAAAGTCAATTTTTTGTTTAGACTTTTATAAAATCATATTCACTTGTTTATCAATGATTTCTAATTACAAAATTAAAGATTTAATGGACTAATTCTTAATACAAAGTTTACTTCACTTATTTTTAATTTAAAGCTGATAAGTAATTCATTAATGGCTTTATAATCTGGCTATAGACTTTCAATTTATTTATGAATTTATTATACAAAATAATTCAGATTCCAAGTATCTTCCAAATGCATATGATGATAATTCACTTAACATAATGGGCATATTGCACCTTTTTCTCTACATTACCCTTGAGTACACACAGACACCAACTATTCCTTTGCATGTCTTTAGCAAGGAACATCAGGAATAGTAATGACTTGCTATAAAATTTTTATTTTTGTTTAACTCTGGTCTAAAGAAATAGGTTTCATATATATATTTAATAAATATAATAATAAAAATAATAAATTACAAAAAATATTAAAAGATCATAAAATAAGTGAAATGGTTTTGAATATTTAGATAAATTAAAAGACAATAGAAAAAATATATGAAATAACTTAGAATATTTAGGCTTTATGTTTTTTAATTTTATATATAAATTTTAATTGTAAAAAAATTAATTAAATTAGAATCATCAATTCTATTATAATCAATAATTTTTTGTTTAAAAGAGATCTAATAACTTAGAATATAGTATAATTTTATTAATTAGATTACTTTTTTGAATGATTTTAATTAATAATAATAATATTATAAATAATATAAATATTAATAAAGAAGATGTAACTTAATTCAATTTGAGTACAAAGTAATTATTTACTATTTAATTTTTAATTTAATACTTAAATAACAAAAATGATTAAAATCAAAAATAAAATTCTATCTTCAAAATCAATTACAAATGTATTTTGAAATGATAATCATTTTGTACTATCAACAGAAATGATATTAGTTTTAAAATCTTGAATTAAATCTAAATAAAAATGTACATATTAAGTAACAATATTAAAATTTTAAAATACTTAATTGTCTTTGGTTTGAATAAGAAGATATAAAATTGACGTTAGCATGTGAATGATAATATTCTAATTCAACATTAATTAGAATTATATATATATAATATTATGATCAATAAATTTATGGGGTATTTCAAAAATAGGCCACCATTCTAAAAGAGAATAGCAAATTCATCTCTATTAAGTTAATCTGATGAAATTTTATTAGATGATCTCTTGTTCCTAATTTCTTGCTTTGAGAATAATCATTCAGAATTTATAACAAAAGCCCCATCTTATTATATTGATCAGTATTTCCAATTGACATGTGAATAGTATGAAATATATGAAATTTAATAGGGAATTTGCTAACTCATATATTATAAGGAATAAAGTGCTTTTAACATGCCATTTAATGTTACATGAATTTTAATTAGGTATTGATTTTGCAGATCACTTTCTGAATTAGAAGTTTGCTATTCTTATGAATCGATAATCACCTACTGTTGTTAAAACAAATTAATAAAAAGAAGAATGGCTATCTGCAAATATTTAGTTAAGTTATTTTTAATATTTACAAAAACTTGCAGTTAATGTTTAGGTGTTTCATGCTTGTAAAGTGTAGTAATATCCATTGTTTTAAGAAGGATAAAAATTTATTGATATTTAAACAAAGCTACTATGGTTATTTAAGATAAGCAATTTGGTATATTAATGATTTAAAAAGTAAGGTAAATAGTGGATTGGGATAGATGGAGACATTGAAATCAGCATTATTAATGGTACCTGAAGATATGTTGCTAAAAGAAATAGTATTAGTTTATTGGTCTGACATAATTGTATTTTACAATTTTTTAAGCAAAGAGGTATAATATTTCTGGGGAATTTAGATTTTACAATTATTAGACTATTATAGACATTTAGCTACACATATTTGCTTATAGTTCTACGAATTATATTTATAATTATTTCAAATAAGAAATTCTATATCAGATTTATATAAATATAGGAAACATTTTGATAGAGATAATGTTATTAAATAGCCTAAATGGTTTGATGTTAATAAACCTGTTCATAAGTAAATAGAAGAATTTATGCTAAAATAAAAGTTAAATATGGGCAATCATACAGATAGAGGTTCATAAAAACCACAGATGTCAAGTAGAGGTTCTAAATCTTAGATTGCTTTGGATACAAGAATTGATTTAAGTAAAATACCAAGAAAAGGTGGTGCTATGAAAACTCATAGAGCAGGTAGATAAGGAGATAGTGATGGAGATGATGAAGATTTTGAACAATTAAAATTGATACTATAAAATTCGAATATGTAATCAAAATTAACTAAAAAGAAATAATAATAATAATAACAATAATAATAATAATAATAATAGTAAGATTCTTAAGTGTCATTCTAAAAATAATCTCAAGAAGAAGGTACTGATTTACCTAAAGGTGATTGAATATATTGGTTGTAATAATTAATGTTTTTTATAAAATTAATTTAATAATGTAATAAGGATATATTAATGCAGAGATGAGTGATTTCATAATTTAACATTCAACCTTCATTAATATTTAACCAAATTTTGATTTAGAAAAGCTACAATTCATTTCTGTAATATAGAAAATGATTAATTAAGGGATATTTTGGACCATTTAAAATTAATTAAATTGTAGAGGTTCCGTTATGGGTAGCAATTGAATTAAAGAAAAAGAATAAATGTAGAGTAATACCTCCTGAATGGTTAAGTATTGAAAGGTTGCAATAAAAACTTGATGAAGAAACCATTAATGAATTAGAATTAGCAAAAATGGAACAATATTATTTTGAAATTTCATCAATTTTATTCTCTTATTGCAGAGATGATATTAAAGATGATGAAAGAATCAAATTATTGTTGGAAGATATTAAGACAAGAAGAGAAAGCAAAATTTAAAAGAAAATAGAGGAATTTATCTTAAGAGGATCTGATGCTTTAAAAATAAATAATTTAAACTAACATGAAAGAAATAAAATTTACTCTAATTTTTATGGAGATTTAAAAAAATTAAGGTAATTGAAATTACTATCAGAGAGTTGAGAATATTTATATATTAAATTTATTGAAAATTAAATGATTCATTCCTTAAAACCAAAAAAGAGATGCTAATAGATTTGTAATGAACATTAGTTCATTCTGATACCAAAATCTAATGAATGTTGGATTAAGTAATAGATAACTCTTGATTATTGTCCTGTTTATAATGAGTATAATGTATTACATTACAAAAGATTCACTGGATAGTTTGAAAACATAGTTCCTATTCAGAATTTTGATAGATAACCTGGACTCCCTACATTCATCCTAGAATAAGATAGAACTTAATATTAATTCAATCTAGAGAGATATTAATAAGAACATCAATTGAAAATTGAAGAATAGAGAATCAAGAAGACTAAAATGGTATTTAATTATTGTATTATATTTAAGTTAGTTCCAAAGCCTGGCAAAAAACATAGGTATTGTGGAGTGTGCAAAAAAAATTATGAAGAATATTTAGATGTATGTTAAATTTTTATTTTAGTTTAGCATATCCAATCTTAGGAGCATATAAATACTTTTAATTCTTATAGAAGTGTAAATCTGATAAGAACTTTAATTCAAGGATTTTAGAATGTTATTAATCATGAATTCTCAGATTAAAAATAATCCAGCATATTGTTTTGTGATTCAAATACTAAAATTCCTATGAATAAAGAAAATTTTGTAGCTTATTTTGATCAAGAAAGAATTGGAGTTCGATTTCAAAAATAATAGATTAAGGACATTCCTATGCTTGAATATAAAATTCCAAGTTCTAAGAGAGGAAGACCTCCAAAAATTAAATAGAAGAAGGAAACCATTAAGAAAGCCAAAGTATAAGAAGATATTCCAATTATCCCACATTATTAACCAAATACTTATTTAGACTTTTATTATCTACAACAATAATATTTGTAAGCATAATAATAGATTTAAAATCAATAATAACAATATTTATGCTATCAATAGCCACAACAATAGTATTTTAGAGACTGTATATATTATTTTTAAATTTTTAGAGATGCAATATTTTAATTAAAATGCTTAATTAGATTTATAGTTTTATTAAAGTTTGATGTAATAATAATAGCATTTTCTATAATTAAAAGAAATAGAAGAGCGAAGAGAATACTCAGATAGATCTTCTTTATGGTAAAAATTGATATAATTAACAAATTACCAATAACCAACTCAAAATGAAATAGTTTAACTTTTGCATAGCATTATTGAGTAATACGAATGCAATCCTCGTAACAATCAAAATCTAAATCATAATAATAATAATGATTAGCAATTTTAATGATTTTAATTGTTTTGTATTTCATTTCATTAATTTAATTTCAAAATATAATTAGAAGGAAAGTCTCATATATATTTTTATTAATAATAATTATTTAATTTAATATAATATATAAATTCATTTAATTAATTTTGATAATAAAATATTTAATTTTCTGTTTAATTTATATTTGAATATATCTGACTTTATTTTATGAATCACAATGCAAATTGTTTATTTAATATTTCTATTTTAATATTTACAACTTTTAAATATATAATTACATAAATAATTACTTATTAAAATAAATGAATTATTTATATGAAAAAAAGAAAATATATTATATTAATACTTAATTTAAAGAATTTTATTAAGAAAATAATAATAATCAAAAAATAGATTATTTCAATTTGAAATAAAAGAATAAATAAATCGAGTATGAGTCAATATTTAGCTAGATTTTATTTTAATTTTGGAGCATTTAAAGTATAGTTTATTAACTTGTTTTCTATACTTGCATCTTCTAATTATGTCATTCCTTATAAATCAGTTTAGTTATCAGGTTATTTAAAATGATTTTGGATTTCTTTGACTTTTAATGGTTTACTACTTTTATGAACTTAATTTCGTTAACTCTTGATTAATAAATATTTTACTTAGATTTTTTATCTTTTTATAATCTTTCTTCTAACTCCTCTAAATCTTAAAAATCTTCTTATTATAGTTGCATTACCTAACTATTATTATGAAAAGATTGCTGTTATTGAGTAATAAATTACTATTATAAATGAGAAGACATATGTCTTTCATGAAATGATTTAGAAGATTGTTATTAAATTAAAGATCCTTTAGAATCTTAATGTAAATTAATAATTCCTCTTTCTTATAATTTACTTAATAATTTTGAGGATCCAATTCTAATATTATTTTGAGAAAACTATGAATTTTAATAATTTAAAAGAATTGAAGATTATTAACTATTAATCTATGAAGAGGATAGACTATTTCCACTGTTATTACTCTTATTGACACATTATTCTGATTAATGTCTACTTCTATTTCTATTATTATTAATAGCTTTTTATAAATTATTAATATCAGATCTATTTTAAATTTCTAAAGATGTACCTTTATGATTCAACATTTTTAATTTTATCATCTTATCTATATGATCTAGCTGGTTATCTTGTGTCTTATTATGTCTATTCTCCTGAGACTTTAGTTGTACCTTAAGAATATTCAGTCCAGTCAAGTCTTTTATCATGTTTGAATCCATGAGTTATAGATAATTACTCAAATAAGGAATGTAAATATCTATAATCTGGAGTAGATTTATATTATAATTATTTAACATATTGAAAATATCTAAATAATAAAAATATATACTAATAAAATTCTTAAGGACAATCTTTGCACAATTCTTCTATTTATGTTTATTATTTTATTTAACCAACCATTTTAGTTTTTTCTTTTTCTGCTACATTATGATATGTTTACCAAGGTAGAGTTCCTTTATACATATATATAATCATATATCCAATAGATTCTAAATCATCTTTTCTACTTAATTCAAAACCTCTATGTGCTCCAATACTTGCATATCTAGTTGTGCCAACAAATGATTTATTATCTTTAAATGGTCTAATATTTATAACTATTATGTAATATAATTTACACATGTGTTCCATCAGGTTCTCTATAAAATTTAGCAATTCCAAAATCAGCTAAAAAAATTTAATTTGATTCTTAATCTTTACCAGTCATAACATTTTCTGGCTTCATATCTCTATGAATTATTCCTCTATCAAATTATATGAATTTATAAGTACTTCCTATGTACACCTTCTATTATTTATATAATTTGTAGTGATATATTAACAACGCATTTTAATGAAAACCTTTTTAATGCCTTTAAATGGTATGATAAATCTCTGCCTAACAATTACATCACCAAACAATTATGATTATGTTCATTTCCTGCCCATATAATTTTAGGAATCCCTAATTTAGCAAATTTCTAACCTGGAAGCTTTTTTAATTCATCTAACATTTATATTTCTCTTTCTAAACTCATTGAATTAATGTCTTCCTTCTCTACTTTCATTGCCACATATTCTTTGGTCTATAGATCTTAACATAAGAATACAACACCAAATGAACCTTTCAATATTAAAGCAATATCATATAGTACCTGCACTAATCTTATGCTTTATATAGAATCTATTTTTATAAAGTCTTTCATTTTATTTTTCTTCAAAATTCATTAAATTATTAGATAAATTAATTAATACATAATAGTTTAATTTCCTTATTATTTAGACAATTGATTTAATCAGTAACTTTGTAAAAACTTCAATTTTTTATTTCTAATGATATATTAAATATAAATCAAAATTTTTACAAAAATATATATATATCTATTTATAAAAATGTTGATATAAGTATGATATAATTAATAAATGATATAGTGTATTATTTTCATAATATAAGATTTAATACTTAAAGTAATATTTCATACTCTTATCTTAAATTTAATTTCTAAATTATTCTTTAATTATATTAAATAGAAATATATAATAATATTTATAAGGATAATAAAATTATATTTTAAAATTGAGGATCATATATTAAATATTTATCTGTTAATCATTAAGTTTATATGGAGGCCAATTATTGTTTATAGTATCCAACAAGTTCTTGCCATTTAGCCTTATTCTTATCTAAATTTTCAAAATATGGCTCAAAGGCTGGAAGAAAACCTTAAATACAAGAAAATGTTGGTTTGACCACATAATCAATAAAGCTAATATGATTACTTTAAATACCCTAATTAAGCTTCTGCCATATTAGTTGTATATCTATTACAAAGATAAGAAATAGGTAGACCAAGTTCTCTTTCTTTATCTCCTTATTACCAAAATTCTGTTAGAACTTTTTCTGTCCATTACTTATAGATTTCAAAATTTTTTGTTGGATTTGATACATCTGAAGAATGAACAACCAAATCCATCAATCTTTATTTATCTTTTCCATATGGTTCAAAATCGGCTAAAATTAAAAAACATAAATTACGTGCTGCTACTCTACTATTTGTAATGGCTAATTCAGAAGCATGATGAGCCATATCAGTGGATAAAACCATCGAGATAATAGATTCTCTTATTCTTCTATATTTTTGAAATGGTAGATTTTCAAAAATATTAGCTTTTTAATTTGTCCATGCAATTTTGAAACATTAAGATGGATGAAACATTTCTAGAACACTTTAATCATTATAAGTTAAAGCTAATTCATTTTTACTATTAATAAGAAATGCATTTGTTAAACCAGGGTGTCCATAATCATGTATAGCACCTGCAATTAAAACACAAGCAATATCTTATTCATCTAATTAACCAATTTCAATAAATTTGCATCTATTTAATAAAAAATTGCATGTTTATGCCACATCTTAAGCATGTACTCTATTATGATATGGATTATCTTAATATCCTTTAGTCACTTCTTCAAAATAACTTCTAACAACTTTAGGTTTAATCAAAAAAACATCATAAAGATTATAATTTTCAAATAGAAATAACATTAAATAAATTAATCCTTCTCCTCCACTTAATTTATCACATTCAAATGGATCAATATATAAATCATCATGTTATTTATCTAAAACTTCTAAAACCTAATGAAATATTATTATTATTATAATACTCTTTTTGGAATATTCAATTTTTAGAAGTTAGCCAATACTTTTTTCTATTATTATTATTAATCTCCTGTTACTATTTTTCTTACGCTAGATTTACCCTATTAACTTTAATTTAACCAACCCATAGCCTATAATTACTATAACATTTACTTCAGCATTATCTTCATCCAATTTTCCCATTTAATATAATTAGTTATTACCTATTTTGTCAATGCAATAATCAATATCCAATTTCATACTTTCAAGTTCTATGACTTCTTTTAATTCTGATAAAAATCGAACAATCTTTTCAGCTGGTGTAGATATAGTAGATATTGTTGATAGTCTTCTAAAAGTTTATGCTTTTCTTATGAGTAGAAATATTCTTAAAAATCTAAAAACTGCTTAGATTACTTTGACAACATTTGATGTTTTCTAATCTGCTAATTCAAATATTACAAAAAAGAGAGATAATAATATAATTAGAGTATCTAATATCAACCATTTATCTTTGTAATATTTCTATATTATTTTTAATTCTTACCATTACACCCCATGCATATAAACCAACTGCTATTTCTAAAATGAAAACTATAAGGATTCCTAATTCAATCCAACTCAATATTATTGACACATTGTTGAATTCTGTCTCATCCATCAATTCTTCTAATGCTACAATAACAAATATTAAAATCGCATATATTCCAACTAATGCAATAATGCTAATTGTAATTGATTTAGAATTAATTAAATCTTAAATCTTTTGTTCCTGCTCAGTATACAATCTAACTGTAATAAATAATAATAACCTCATATTGAGCTTTTTTCTTGGAATTTCTAGTAATTTATCGCTTCTTTTGGAAGATTCTCCTCTCATTGTTTATTTATCTGGATTTTCAAGACTTCTTAATTGAGAATCAGATCTTGATGCCAACATATTAAAATGTAATTATTAATAAGAAATCAAAAATTATGAACTATAATTATGTGTAGTCATAGTAATTAATCAACTAAATGTAATATGACTCTAATTTTTATACAATTCAATTCTATTTTATATAAAGTTTGAATATCTTTTTAGTTTATTATTTTTCTCAAATACAACAAATATCTAAATTGTTGATTATAATATAAACTAATATTATATAAAAATAATATTATTTGGTTAACATAATAAATATATCAAATAAGAGTTTATGAATTATTCTAGATTCATAAATTTATAATACGTGTATATAGTTTTAGATTTATACTAAAATTAATTTAATATTATATTATATAATTACTTTATAATGTAAACAGGAAAAGATGAGATTGTAGACGAACTTACTTAATTCAAAATAGAAAGAGCTAAAAGAAGAGAAAGAAAAGAATGGGAATTAAAAATTATGGGAAAATGCATTACTTGGTTAATATATTTATATGTAACAGGAATAATAATAACAGGATTGAATTACATATTGGTAATTAAAGTTATCGATCTATTAGTTAGAAAAAAGTTATAAATATGAAGGAATAGTTGAAGACAGTTGTTAAGATTTTAAAACACTTAAATCAGTTAATGAATAAATATTCCCTCTATTAGATGAATTGACTGTAAAAATAAGAATAGAAATTATAGTACAAAAAATATTTTAAGATCTTCAGAGTTAACTTAGAAAATGATTGTCCATTCTCTATTGGAGAATATATATGTACAAGTAAAAAATGTGTAATTTGTACTTGTAATACATCTGAAGTATTAAGATTAATATATTCTAGATTCCATCTAATTGGTTATCTCCAGCATCATCTCCTATTAATTAACCAAAAGATGATTTTGCATTCTGGGATTCAGAAAGATATCTATGTATTTTATTATAATAACTCATAGCTCCATCTGAATGGATATGGCATGTTGAAGATATTGAAAATGACAAAGGAGTTTATGTAGATTTGAAATTAAATCCAGAAGCATTTACAGGATATTAAGGATAACATATTTGGGATGTTATATACAGAGAGAATTGTTATTAAGGTTCATTGAATGATATGTGTAAGGAGAAGAGAGCATTGAATAAATTAGTTTAGGGATTGCATACTTCAATTTCAACTTAATTAAGTGAGTTTTATGTTGATTTATCAACAAATAAAACTTATCCAAATTATCCATTATATTTTGAAAGAGTAGGTAATCATCCTGAAAGAATTCGAAATTTATTTTTTTTATATTCAGTTCTTTTAAGAGCAGTTATTTTAGCATCTCCAGGAATCTAAAAACATGATATTAATTCAATGTCTTTTGAAGAAGATACTAGATCTAAATATTTATTGAATAATATCTTATCATTAGGAAATAATTAATGTTCTAAACCTTTTGATGAATAATAATTTTTCAATTAAATAACATTTGTAATTATATTAAATATAATTAGGATTAAAAGAAAGATTATTAAAGATATATTCATAATATAAGTAGAATTATGGATTGTGTAGAATGTTAAAAATGTAGAGTATTTGGAAAGATGTAAACATATGGATTAGGAACAGCATTAAAAATTCTATTTTCTGAATCTCCTAGTGAATTCTCAGGAAAGTTAAAAAGAAATGAATTAGTTGCATTAATCAATACATTTGGAAAAGTTTCAAGTTCTGTACACTCGATAGATCTAATGTTTGAGAGAAGAACTATATATCATTACAATCTTATTTTAACTATTGTAATTGTTGGTGGAGTTTTCATAATATTTATGGTAGCAATTAGAAAAATATATTAATAAATGGACAAAAAAATACAAAATATGTTTAGAGGAATGCCCTCTGATAACCCTTAATAAACTAATAGAAATACCAAGAGTAAAAGGGATTGAATTAAAACATAGATAGACATATATATATATATTGTACCATTTTTATATATCAATATCATTGTTATTGTTATGCTGTTTCAGTTCCTTCTTCTGCTCTTCTTGGTCCTCTATTACCACCTCTTCCAAAGGGTTTATTTCCTCTTGGACCTCTTCTTTATTCAGGAACATCATCTTCAAACTTTTTATCAGCTTTTTTGAAAGTGGCTGGAATAACATCTTCGACAATGCCTTTACTATAGATGATTTTCATATACCCAATTTGTCTCTTACATATTTTACACCTTCTGCTTTAAGGTAATAATAATAGTATTGCCATGAGAATACTAAATCAACAAGCTTTTTGTCTCTTAAACTTCTCAATAACATCCAAACTTCTAAGTTTTTTACTCCTGTTTCACTATGAAGTGGAAGTGCCATGTCCTTGAATTCTTATGAAAATATACCTTCTTTATAACAATAACACCTTCCATTAACAAATATTCATAAACTTTTCTTCTGTCTTATCTCTTTACTTGAACCATGTAAAATAATGGATTTGATTTATTTTAAATTTTAAAATAAAATAAACAAATACACAATAATGCTTTCAAGAAAATCTTTTTTATTCAACTCTTGTCTCTATAGATTTTGTTCATTCCGAGAAGAATATGACACATTTGGACCAATCAAAGTTAAAAGTGATCGACTTTGGGGAGCTTAAACTTAAAGATCAATCTAAAACTTTGATATTTGTAGAGACACTGATAAGATGCCTCTCCCAGTTATCAAAGCTTTTGGAATACTCAAAAAATCAGCAGCTATTGTAAATAAAAGATATGAACTCAAACCTGAAATTTCTGATGCCATAGCTAAAGCTGCTGGTAAATTTCATTTTCTAATATTTTTTAGATGAGGTTATTGCTGGAAAATTGAATGATCACTTCCCCTTAGTTGTTTGGTAAACAGGTTCTGGAACATAATCAAATATGAATGCTAATGAAGTTATTGCAAACAGAGCTATCTAAATCTTAGGTGGATAAATTGGTGGTAAATTAGTACATCCTAATGACCATGTCAATATGAGTTAATCCTCAAATGACACATTCCCAACTGCTATGCATATTGCAACTGTTATTCAAGTATAAATTATTTTCATAAAACTCTAGACCAATTAAGTATTGATTCCAGGATTATAAACACTTTTGGCTAGTCTTGAAAGAAAGTCTTAAGAATTTGATAAGATCATAAAGATTGGTAGAACACATACTTAAGATGCTACTCCTTTGACTTTAGGATAAGAATTTAGTGGATATGCCTAATAAGTAAGAAACAGCATTGAAAGAGTCAAAACAGCTCTTCATTAAGTTCAATATTTAGCTTAAGGAGGAACAGCTGTTGGAACTGGAATCAACACATATGTTGGATTTGCTGAAGCTATTGCTGATTAAGTGAGTAAAGAGACAGGATATGAATTCAAGACTGCCCCTAATAAATTTGAAGCTTTGGCTTCTCATGATGCCTTGGTAGATTTTCATGGATCATTAAATGCTGTTGCTGTTTCTTTAATGAAAGTATTAAAATAAATAATATGATAGATTGCTAATGATATTCGTTTCTTAGGATCAGGACCTAGAAGTGGTTTAGGAGAATTGATATTACCAGAGAATGAACCAGGATCATCAATCATGCCTGGAAAGGTTAATCCTACTTAATGTGAAGCAATAACAATGGTTTGTGCTTAAGTCATGGGAAATTAAGTTGCTGTTACTGTAGGTGGTTCAAATGGGTAATAATATTGAATATAATATTTAGACATTTTGAATTGAATGTTTTTAAACCAGTAATTATTCATAATGTTCTTCATTCAATTAGATTATTAGGTGATGCTAGTGTATCATTTACTAAAAATTGTGTAGATGGAATTCAAGCAAATACAAAAAAGATTGAAGAATTAATGAATTAATCTTTGATGCTTGTAACTGCTTTAAATCCATATATTGGATATGAAAAGGCTGCTAAGATTGCTAAACATGCTCATAAACATCATTAAACATTATTAGAGGCTGCTTTAGAACTTAAATTATTAAATGAAGAATAATTTAAATAATGGGTTAAACCTGAATCCATGATTGGCCCATAAGAATATAAACCTAAAAAATGATATAAATTAGAAATTAAATATATATAATAATATCAATATTTGAGACTATTGAGTAATTATATAATTAATAATATAATTTATATGGATAGAAATAGTAGTAGTAGTAGTGAGAATAGGAAGGACAAAAAAAGAAAGAGAAGTAGATCATAAAAGAAAGAAAAAAAAAAATATAAAAGTAAGAAATCTAAAGAAAGAAAGTCAAAAGAAAAGAAAAAGTAAGAGAAAAAATAGGGTGAGAAAATTATATAGAAGTAATTGATAAAAGAAAAAGATGTAAAAATTGAAGTACAACAAAAAGTTTAAGAGAATGAAACAAAGGAAGTAAAAATTTAACATAGTTTTTAGTAACGGAATACAAGACTAAAATAGGAAAGAAGAAAAAGATCTAGATCTAATTCAGCTGTTAAACATTATTAAAAATAAATCTTAGCTAACAATCCTGTTACTAAATCTAGTAATATAAATTTAAAAAATAATTTAGATATGCTAGGTTATGACAAATAAGATCGTTTTTGGGATGGATTCACTTGGGTACCTAAAACAAATTTACATGATAAAGTTAGGGATGATAAGGATAAGGTAATGTCATTGACTAGTAGAATGAGAAGAATTTAACTTTGTAATATTCCTACAGGTTTAACTAATCGAGATCTTTATGCTGAATTAAGTAGATTTATTAATAGAAATTACTTAAATGATGTTGGAAATGCTAAACCAATTTTATATTGTCATTTGAATGAGAAAGATAGAACATGTACAATTGAATTATCATCTGTTGAAGAGGCTAACAGAATGTTAAAATTAGAAGAAATTAAATTATTAGATGAATCTTGTAAGATATTTCGTCTTGGTGATAATTTATATGGTACATATATCTAATATATATTCAGGTCAATCTGTTAATTAATCATAGTTAGTATAGTAAGCACATAATATGGCTTAAGCATAAGCAGCTGCTTATCTTGCATTAAAATCACTTGGTTTTGCCAGAGGATAGAGAGAAGAAGA